AATACTATATAACTTACCCATATAGTTACAAAATACTCAAACTCACATTGTGACATTTATAATTCAGCTTATATTTCTCCAGCAGATTATTTATCTGCATAAGAAGTTTATTGTGCTCTTATCGTGTGTAATAACATCCAAACACAGAAACTTGGCCTAAAATGGTACCTATCTTGACAAATTATTTGAAGTGGTCTATATTACGGACCGTGGCTCACTGGGTTGTTAACATGATTTAAAATAACACAACATTTTGGCTGTAAAAAATACACAAAGAGTAAATACTATTTAAGCAGCTACTGTCATGACAGAAAGGTCATATTCCTTTTAAACTAGATCACATCATCCTTTATAAGATACGTTGTTTAACAACGTAACAACGTTGATGTTTACGTGGTAGTAAACGTCAATATTTACGTAACAGCCAATTTACAGTATTTATTGCTTTTTCCAAATGCCGCGTTGTTATGTAATTTGAATTATTTGTTGCCAATGAAGCCGCACAACCAACGAGGAGGTCCCTAACAGTTCAAGAGTAAAAGCCAACGCCACTTCAAGTATATTCCACTACACCTAAATTTCCGTAGATGAATAATTAGCGTAAGCGTTGACAGTGACCGTCGATTTCGACGGGTTTCACCTAGTCAAATGTAAACTGATGGTGGCCAATTGACATGCTTTTTGATCGCCTATTTACGAGAAGAAAATAAATAATATTGATTCACAATTGTATTAGTTGTGTAATTTACAGTTAATATACGCTATAAAACTCAAATATACTCTTTTGGTTCTGGGGGCAGCCACAAAACCTAAATTCTGATTGCAGCAATATAGATAGCGGGATGTATATATATATATAAATATAGATATATATATAAACTAGCAGTTACTCAGCGCGCGTTGCTGCGCTAACAAAATACATCTGTCTGTGTGAAAAGCATGTTTTTTCTACATTTAAACCGACGATAGTCAGGGATTGCCCTAGTGCCTTATAATGGTGATTGCGAAAGCAAGACACTAAGGAAATTGTAGTTGCTTAAATTCAGAGGGTGATTCGGATGAAATCATCAGTATTCTTATGATTAAGACTATTTCTCCCTTAAACCTATCACTGATAATTTTTGCTTTAATAAATTTTCACTTCATTTTTGGAGCCGATTGGACGGATCACCAAATTGATGGTGTATAAACCTATTCCATGAAATTCTACACGTATGTACCAAGTTTCGTGGCAATCGGTTCAGCGGTGTCTGAGTTTATCACTGACAAATATATATATATATATATATATATATATATATATATATATACAAACATCCTCTTTTATACTTATAGATAATACTTTGATAAAGGTTTTTATGTTTTTAATATTTAAAACATTGGAGAATTTAAACGTTGATGAGTGCACAGGTGTGCTGCGATTGGGGTTTAATACATTTGGACTTATTCAAAAGTAAAATAGTTGTCTGTGCTGCTCTCTGTAGAAACACTGTGGCACTACAGTATTTCAAATCATGACTATTGCTAATACAGAATGTTGTAATTATTCAAACCTACAAAACAGTTGGTGAAAGTAAACATCTGCTTTTAAATCAGGGACGGATTTCCCACTAGGCACACTAGGCCAGTGCCTAGGGGCGGCAGGCCCTTGACCGGTGCCGTCGCTTACGTTTGCTGCCACTTACGAGTGCCGCTGCTTACGGGTGCCGTCCCTTCGTTTTTCCCGCCGCTTACGAGTGCCGCCCCTTACGTTTTTCCCGCTGCTTACGAGTTCCGCCGCTTACGAGTGCCGCCACTTACAAGTGCCACCCCTTACGTTTTCCCGCCGCTTACAAGTGCCGCCGTTTACGTGTGCCACCACTTACGTTTTTCTCGCCGCTTACGAGTGCCGCCACTTAACGTTTGCCGCCGCTTACAAGTACTGCCGCTTACGAGTGCGCTGCTTACTGCTGCCGCCGCTGCCATAGTCCGCCGACTGTGGGAGCGACCGCGACGGCACGGTGGTGACGGAAAACGACAGTCAAAGGACAATGATGAGATAGATTAGGTTTACAATGGTTAAAAGTAGGAGGAAACCATTGTAAGGACTTAACAAAGATATTTATGTGAAAATATATACATTCAAAGTCGTTATTTCTTATATTTAACTCAAGTACTGTATTAACATATTTTAATGTTTGTGGGATGGTAGACCTTTTCAACTGTAATTAAAATAAAAAAAATAACTTGCAGTGTTCTTTTAAAAACACTCTAAATGGGTTAGACTTAGTTTATATTTAAAAAATAATTACTTTTCACCACACTAATATGTTTTTAGCCGTTTTACAAAACGTTAATTGGGGGCTGGAAGCTATGTAATTGCTGTCCAGGACCGAAATGGCAGCTTTCATCGTCATTGGCAACCGATTTGGTTATTACGGCCATAGAGTCACAAAACCAGTTGTTCGCCCGTGAGCCCTGACCGGGATTTTTCGGGAAATTTTACTGGGACACGGGCCTGCAATTTTGTGACAGGCTCAGCCACATGGGCCCCCTATCATAACAACATTTATATGAAAACTACCATATTTTTTATGCCGAAAATTTGTTAAACCCACTAAGAGCACTAGAACAAGTAGTTTACAACAGCTTAACTGACACACTATTATTTGGCCGATCGATATAAACTCTCTACCAACCTAAGTAAAAGAATTGTCATCAGTCATGTAGGTTGCATCAGCAGTCCTCATGGACTGCGTGAAGGCGCTATTTATAATAGGGCCGTATTTAGAACCAATGAGTCCTCGGCCTAGGAGGATAAAACATTAATGTTAATCCTCCTAGGCCCCGGTGGGGCACACTAGAGAGGGCCCTCAATGCTGATTTAACTTAATGAACTTGACAATTTTTTACGATCAAATCGGCGAATTAACCTAGGTGCCTGATGCACTAGCTAATAAATAATTCCATTCTTCCATTGACGCTAAAGAAGGATTTTCATTTCACTTCGTTTCTTACTATTAGGAGGCTGCACTTTAGATTTGTTTACTTCGAGTCAGGTAAAAAATATCACTTACTACTTAAAGGCCTCGGGCCAAATCAGAGTGGTTCAAAATCGGTTTACTTTGGAAGCTGTTGATTTTTATATAATGTTGATTTTCGAGCCGAGCAGAGCCTGTATATAAGCTTGAGAGATCAAGCACAAAGTCAAAAAATCAAACTCAAGCCGATTTTCTCAGTTCAATAATGCCCAATTAAAATTAAAGTTTTTATGTCCCCGAGGATCATGCTCACGAAATTGAAAGATTAGGCCTACGTTTTTGACACGATCGCGGATATCAACGAGAACATTTCCCCGCGAGTGACGATGACGATGTCTCCGCAGCCGCAGGAGACGTTCAATATTTTTCCCGGATTGCAGAAGACGTTATTGAGGTTTTTCTGCGAGCGAGATATATTTAGGATTTTGCCGTGATTGCGGAAAAAATATTTCCCCGTCACGGGTCGCGGGGTGGGAGATATTAGGGATTGGGTCGTGAACGCGGGAGACGATAATGTTGTTATCTGAGGATGTCATAGGTCATTTTTCCGCGATCATGGAAGACGATGATGACGCCTCGGGAGACGCCGTATCAAGCTATAGTGCAAGTTTAGGCGGTAATACATGTGATATATAATATTTTTTAAGATTATTGGGAGGGGCCGGGTGAACAAACTTGCGGGGGGGCCCGCGGGCTCTTATCGCCGCCACTGTAAAACAATGTATACAAAATAAAATATACAAGCAATATCCATATCAATTTTATGTCATCGCTGCCTAGCAACTATTTATTAGTATATTTTTGCTGGTTCCTCTAAATTATTTCTTCACATAACCTTAAAGTTGTAGTTGTGTTAACTGTTAATGTGCATTTATAGTGTGAAAATTACAACTGGCCATCCATTTTTGTATAGTGTGGTGAAAAATGGCGTTCGTACCACGGGTCAAAACGGTTTTGCAGCTCTTGACTTGGTCCCGAATTTAAAAAACTACGAGCCGGAAAAAACCTCATTTTCGGTCCTAGGTACGAGGGGGCGGCACTAAGTATAGTGCCTATGGGGGAAATATGTATAAATCCGTCTCTGTTTTAAATTATATTTATTTGCAAACATTGTAGATAAAAAAGTCTCATACATAGTTCCTCTTTTATAGATATAGATATATATAATATATATATATATGTACATTAATGTGATAACTCGAGCAAAAATGATCCAATTTTGATGAAATTTGGTACAAACGTGTAAACCTACATTTATTCGAACGAGTTAGCGAATCAGCATAATCAGACTATGGGAACGGGGGTTTATGGAGGGTTTTATGGGGTAAAAATTTATTCTTCCCATTTTCGACCCTAAATCACAAAATTTCATATTATCTCTTGAAACCAAATTGTAGAGCTTAAAAAAAGTAATAGTTAAGTATATTGAAACGTTGTTGTATGCCCAAAAGTTACGGAAATAATTTAAAAAATTGCAAATTTAAAATTTTCATGTTATTCTTTCTTATGGAGAATAAATAAACTGTTATAGTTTGCTTGTTTATGGATATATTTAAACCAAATTTGGAAATTTTGTTTATTTAATGCTTAGCTATAGACATTGCAATAAATAAACACATCTCAATATTTTCCCTGTAACAGCAAACCTAGATGCTCACTAAAATGTAATGTTAATTAAATAGGAAACAAATATGATAATTTTTAGGAAATATTTAAGTAGAAATCCAGCCAAATAAATGAAAATTTGCTAAGACTGCAGGTTTGCTGTGGCAAGGGTATTTTAAATAGATATAGGCCTATACAAAAAGTGACAAAACATTGAAATAAAATAGCAGTCCGAAAGGCTAGAATCCTAACACAAATCACACCATTTTCGGCTTGAAGTGGGATGCTAGCCTCTCGGACACCAGCATCCCAGACACCAAAGTCCTAGTATAATCGTAGCCCAAGTTCCTATACAAGAGATGACACATTACAAACCTGTCCAGAATACAGATGACAGAATCCTCTAATGATTTTTTCCTTGTACAAATTACCAGCAGCTGTTTCAATTCTTCGGATGGTTTGCATTTGCTTATAGAATTTTATTGCTTCCTCTCTTGAAATTGTAACCGTAGTAGATGGTCCATCTTCCAGTTTATGTAGTTTAAACGGCTGAAAATAAGTTCAAATATGTATTTACAAATATACTACTTTCTTAAGTCTACAAGACATGCATTTCATATTGAGTTGGACTTCATGGCTAAATGTGTTGTTTCCAGGTGGGCTAATGGCATTAGAAAAAGAAATAAATGCTATCAGCAATCTGACACATACTTTCTCCCACTACTTATGACTTCTTTTCTGACTTTTCTAACACACTGTATACAATTTAACCCTATGATATACCCTACTATGATATATACTTGAGACAATATAATAATTGTTAATGGAGGTTATTTTCTTCTGAAAAATCAGTGAGTGAATTTTGTATCTATAATATACACCTGATTTCCTAAACTACATCTGATTCTTACTATTCACTTTAGGGAGAATAGGAGCTACTTTAACCAGGCAACGCATGTATTGAAAACAGCCATTTTTGCTGTGGTATGACAACTTGTCATTAATAGCTTCAAACTAAGGATTTACTAATCTCAATAATTTTGGTAGCAATTACTATGCTGATAAGGTTGTTGCGATCGAAAATTATAATGTTGGCAATAGGAAAACCTAGCCTATCTGTTTTTGGAAGAATCATTACTACCAATGCATAAATATGTTCCTATTGTCATCTCCAGCACTTAATATTATCATGATGCTGCCGCAAATGGTTTCTATGAATAATTAGCTATATAAAAAAAACATTTCCTAGAGAGAAAATAAATGGATGTCTATAAAGGGAGAACTCTGCTACAACGGTGGCAAGCCCGGGACCTAAGTAGCCAACAGAAAGTTCACAGCAAAGAAACCTATGAAAGGTAAAAATGGAAATCTAATAGTAAATGAGGAGGAGAAGCAGATGGAAAGGTGGAAAGAATTCTTCGAGGAGTTGCTTTATAGACAGACAGAGTATGGTGGGGGAGGAGGGAACTTATATGAAGAGACATTTTTGAAAACGAGTTCGAGGACCCCAGAATAAGTATAGGAACACCATCAAAAGCAGAAATTATAGCAGCACTCAAGGAAATGGTGTAGACTCTATTTCTCCTGAAACAAACACAAACCTTATTTTTAACTCAGCAAATATTTTTTACAGCTTGATAAAGGATATATGGGAGAAGGAGGTAATACCAGATTACTGGAGGAAAGGGTTGTTGATTAACACGTTCGCTACTGAGCGTCGCATATATGCCACGCCGCGGCCATTGCCACAGACCGAGGTATACATTTGAATCTTACACTTAGACCGGCTGTCACTTGGATAACAGTACACACAGACCACGGGCTAAAACCTGTAAAACAGTGATAATTTACATTGTAATACGCTCCAATCGTGTTTGTAAATAAAGTATTCTTGTTTTTTTTGTATTTTTTATAACCTTTTGTAATGTCGCATATTCGCGACGCCCGGTCTACAGCAAAGACAATAGTGAAAATTATCATAGTTTTCTTGAAATAGACCAAACGTTGCATATATGCGACGGTTCATTTTTTTGTGTTTTGAAGTGAAAGTAAGTAAAATAAAAAACAGATTGATAAAGAACAGTTTATAACTGAACAAATATAAAAGCTACATAGGATATTTCAGCATACATACTGCATACATACATACAGTGATGCAGAAAAGTAAAGACCAGTTTTTCCAACTATCATATGACGTCACCAATCATCATATCCACAGACCAAGCGACGCAGTTGTGCGTCAGACATCTCTGTAGACCACTGCAGGGAATTCAGTGCCTTCAAATATATAAAGATATATTTGATATATTTGATTTATGCTTATAAATATACAAAGATATAAGCATTTTAATAACATTAGAACCCCGACGCAAATATGCGAAGGCAGTCTATTTTAATGTGACTAGCCGACGCACATATGCGACGGCAGTCTATGGGTGGAAACCGGCCGTCGCATATGTGCGTCGCTGGTCCATGTGAATGAAAAATTTCCTACTATTGCAGTAGCGAACGTGTTAAGCTGCCAAAGAAAGGAGACACTTCTTTACGCAACAATTTGAGAGGTATAACCCTGCTATCCGTGGCAAGTAAAATACTCACCAGAATAATTTTAACTAACTACTGAGAGAACACGCAGGGTTCAGAAAAGACGGAGACGAGGATGCTGCAACCAGAATAAGGAAAGCTAAAGGAGGTTTTGCACAGCTTGAACAGTGCTTGTTTGGCAGTCAAGCCAAATAAGAAGAAAAACTATTTTAAATATTTTAAACAAATATGTAAAGTCTGTACTCTTATATGGCTGCCAAACATGGAAAGAAACAAAGGCTATAATCAGAAAATTGAAAGTTTTTATTAATAAATGCCATCAAAGGATATTAAAAATTCATTGTCCTCAAAGAATTACCAACGAAGAATTACAGAGAGTGACAAACCAAAGCCTTAGTGAGTCGGTGGCTCATTCGGTAGCGTCACCGACTTCGGGCCCAAGGCAGCGATGTCGTGGGTTCGGATCCTGGCCACTGCTGGAAACATTTTATCAGTACTGATCACCTTTGTACTGTACCGGCTCACTCCTTGCTTTGCTGTATACGATCCACGCATAGGCAGTTAGTCTATGTGGACGGGCAAATGCAAGGTTAAAAGTGGCCGCCAACCTCTTAAAAAAAGCCCAGTAAATGAGACTTTCAAGAAAAGAAAGTTTGGCTGGATTAGCCATATGCTGAGAAGTCAAACTAAATAAACTACACCAAACAACACCATTAGTCGCCAAGCCCTCAAGCGAAACCCTCAGGGGAATAGGAAAAGAGGAAGGCCGAAGACAGCCTGGAAGAGGTCGGTCAACAAAGAAATCAAGAAAGAGGGCAAGAGCTGGGGTGAAATCAAGCTGATGGCACGGAACAGTGTACGGTGGCTCAGTAGTATTTTAAAGAGCTAGATGGATCGGTAACAACGTATTTGTGTATGAAGAAACCCTCCACTTTGATGTGTCTAGTGCCCCAAAGTTGTCAACATTAAATCTATATATATTCTCTTTAAACTTTAGATACACAAGTCTTCGTCTCAATGATTGAAGGTTTCTGAAATACAAGTGTTCTTGACTAAAGATTGAGCCTTTCCAATTGTGTCCGTCATCTTCACAATTTTCATATATATTTGTGTTTTGCCTTAGACCCTTGGATCACAATAAAAGTAAAATTATGATTTTACAAATAGTAATAGTAAAACAGTATAGTACAGTAATATTATTTTTAATAGATGGGAGGCAAATACCAACTGAATGAAGGTTTGAAAGAATTAAAGTTTGGGAACCTCTGCTCTATAGATTGATTTCAGCTTACAACAAAAATCTTGTTTCGGGACAATAATCTCCTGATAATAAGACTCTGCACTTTTGATAAAAAAGGCAACTTTACAAAATGTGCTAGGCTATAAAGCTATATGAGTTTTTCTTTAAAAATGATATCCTACACAGTAAATAAATATTGTATGCAGTAAATAAAAACCAATAAGTAATGTCAAGTTTTGATTATAATATAATCTTACTATTATTTTCTTGCTAATATTATAAATCTGAAAGTTTGTGAGTTTGTGTGTTGCTCAATCACGCATACTACTGGACGGATTGGGCTGAAATTTGGCATGATGATAGCTCACATTACCGATTAACATTTAGGCATATTCTTATCTCAAAAATCCTTTCGGGCTCCGCCCCAGTGGCTCTGTAGTTCCCCTTGATAACCTTATGAGTATTCATATTTAAAGGGAATTAAAGAATTTAGCCAGCTGTTTCAACTTTACAAGTTGGTTCTGTAATATGATAATATGCAATAGCATTAAAAAGTTATAAGGTTTCCCAACAGGGTGTAGCACTATTATTATTTTGTTTTTGCATATATGACAACAGCTAATTTGAACCAAGCAGCAACAAAAAGCTGTGATGCACAATGAGAACTGTCAAAGTAGGATTGTTTAGTTAGGTTTGAGTTTTTAATTTAATGAATAATTTGTGGTATTGTGCGAATGTTTAATAATTTATTTTTTTCTATTGTTTAGGTGCAGTGGTAGAACATTATGGCAGTGGTAGTTGTGTTATACAATATCATACCGTAAATTTATGAACCAAATTTTATCAAACTGTGTCCTCCCTCCTTTGCAAACGCAAAGCTTGAGTATAACTGCAATAAGCATTTTATTCTTATATGCCAACCCCGTACGAAGGACGGGTGCTCTGCTAGTTATTTATATTTTGGAATTATTTAGTTTTGAACATACTACTTTTATGGAGTTTTAAAACAAATAGGCTTTAAATTTGCAACACAATAGTATATTACGTTACTAGTCCTGAAAATAAGTGTTTACCGGACGAGTGTGGTCGTCGTGTGGACTCGACTTCGTCTCGCACGGGATTACCATACGAGTCCGGTACACACATTTTGGACGAGTTATGTACGATAGTTTACGCCATACTACTAAATCCGTACAAATCCTTATATCTTTCCACCAACTAAAGGACTAAAAATCACTAGTTTTGGTTTATAACCACTCACTGCCACCTAAATACAGTATAATCAGCTGATTGGTGTCCGGTAAAACTCATTGCAGTACAGTAGTACGCAATGAAACCCCATTTGAATAAGCTGGCGGCAAACAGCTGTTTTCTGGACTAAATCCTTGCGTGGGAAGTTCGTCAAAATAATATAGTGTGGCGTAAAAATATTTGTTATCTAGAAGGAAAAATATGTTTGTATTGATAGAGATAGATAAAGAGGGCCAGTGATAAATTTGTATTAGCTGAGGACCTTCCTTTGAGAGACTTTTAAAAAGAAGAAATGTGTTTCTTGGTACCACAGAGTTATTTGACCTAGCCCTGTGGAAGCCTCTTTACTCTTGAAAATTGTTACTCCCGAGAAGGTAAAAGGAGTTGATGTTTAACTAGAGCTTTTAACAAACATTTCACTGGTCAAATTAGTATCAAAAGTGTTTGTTCATTTTATGTATTGCAATCCAAGTTACATACTTAAAAAACTATCTACAAGAGGTTAAGTTACCTTTTACTTTTTTGGTCCAAGTAATCCCCAAGTCGATATGGCACTGGTTTCAAATTTTTAAGCTGGAAGACATAAAATCTATCATTACGTAGGATGTCGTCATGAGTCTTAAAAAAAAGTAGAACATTATAGTCGCACACAAACACAATAATTTACATGGCCATACAACTTGAGGAAGACACAGCGTCAGTCTAGACCTACACCCTGTTCTCGCTGCCATGCTGCAATTAGAAGTTGTATGGCAATGCGTGTGTGTGACTGTATGTGTTACGTGTTATTTAAGACTCATGACAATCTCCTACGAGTGATATATTTTATGTCTTCCAGCTTGAAAATGATGCCGTAGACGTTGAAACCGGTCGCTTTATAGACGATTTGTGGATTACTTGGACAGGAAAAGGTAACTTAGCCTCTTGTAGAGTGTTGATTGATGCCATTAGCAAGGCCGAGCAGTGGATTCACTGTGAACTGACCTGGTGGTGCTTCACTCTCTACACTCGCCGAATACAGTATAAGATCTGCTCTACCATGTAGATCGCCTGAATACACACTTTTAGCTCAATTTTTGTCACTTTGATGATGAATTCTATAGTTCCTGAAAAGGGTAAATAGTGACCAGACGTTATAGCCTAAGACAAGTTTTAGGGGAGCATTAACACCAATAAGATAAGCAAGAGCAATAATAATAGATTACCTTAGTTTCAAATGTAGCCTCGGTCGCATAGTTGTTTTTTGATACCCCCAGCAATGGCATCAGCTTCTAAAAAAAAAGATTAAGATAATCACTATTTTGTTCTTTTTGGGTCAGTCCAGGCCAATTCATCCAGGGGGGTACACCCCACCACCTCAGATTTGCATGAAATTTTTTTACAGCATCTATGGACAAATATAACAACCCATATTTTTTATTTTTGTTAAATTCACTTTAAAAAAATAGGTTTTTTTAACCGATTTATTTGAATTGGCGTCGGGGGAAAAGAACACTTTTTAGTTTAAGACCGACTGTGAGACTAAAAATTATTTAATATAAATACATGAAATTTAGCACTCTTACAAATAACTACACCCTGATTCCAAAAATATGGTCCAAAATAGTAAAATCTTCCAATTTATTTTGGTTAAAGGCATCTTCAAAGTTGAAATTTCGGAAATATTTTTCTCGCTGTCGCCATTTCCGTAAATCCTCATGAATTTGTTGGCAGGTCCTACAAATTTGAACAAGGTGTCATTTAAAAGCTAAGAAAAAGTACTATAAGAATATGTAATAAAATTCATGGGTATTTAGTGTTATTACAGTAAAAAAAAAAATAAATAGTTAATAACGGAAAAAGTCATTAAAATTTTACGAAAGCATTTGTTTACGTAGTGTTATAAATGACAACATTTATTTATGGTTGCTGAGCATATATAAAAATATGAAAAAGCTCATCTCCATCATCATATTGTAACAGAATCTAAACAAGTTTAAATTAAGTATGAGTATAAGCAATCATTAGTTTTATGAAGTATGGTACGAAATAGTATAAACTTTAAATTCATTCACTTATAAATTTAATCAACTTGGAACACAGGTTTTAACATAAAATTGTTCAATTATATGTACCAAAAAGCAATATTATAATATTACACATTTGATTTAAAGGCGGAATGCAACTAAAAAACTAGAAAGCCAAGACACCTTAAGCTAGTAAATTATTTAGTTTGTGCTTTTTTGCTTACCTGACCTGTCTAATGGTCTTGGAAATAATTAAATTTCAATATCTTAATATATATATAATATATTTACATGTTTCTTTTTTGATTATTAGTCTTATAGCCTACATAGATTAGTTTTTTCTTGGCCATATAGCACTTATGTTCTTTATACTTTTCTTGGTGAGACGAAATAGGCCTAGCATTCGTCCCACTTGAGCACTCAATTCCGGAATATCAATGCAGCTATGTTTGTAAAGGGGACCCAACACTTATCTTCCCTTCCAACATTTCTGTGTTCTGGCTAAAAGTATGTTTGAGATGGAAAATGAGGATGCATGAAGTTGATGTATGCATCATTGTTAGCATTGTCAAGCTCCAAAACAAGTCCTACAAAACACTTCTCTTCGTAAACACATGCTATGTAGGTATTAGGTTGAAGATTACAAAATTGTTGTTCTTCTGTAAAATTGTGTTTTAATGAAAATTCAGCATCATTGCTTACACGTTTGGCTGCAATTTCATGGGTTGATAGTGGTTGGAAGAAATGGAAAGACCTTGTGCCGGGTACAGTTTTGTATTGACTAAAACGTTCATCCAATTTCGGTACAATCAAACTTTCTACACTGTCAATGGTGATAAAGTCAAACTTAATTTTTGAAAATTGTTCATCGCAGAATTTATACATTGCTTCTGGTGTACAAATTTGGTCCTTATAAGGTCTTTGAAGGTTGGCTCTTGTAACGGATCTTTTGACAGAGCCACCAATACCATCGCAAGCACATTTTCCATGGCTTGTTGCATGGAAAGTCCAGGAAGCTTCAAGACCAAAATCTGATTCGTGTAAACAAAGATTTACCAAACTTTTGAAATTTTTGTACTGTGCGGCACAACCATCCGTAATATATTCTATTTTTGTAACATATGTGTGATGATTCTTTAAGTATAGGCAAATTCTTCTTTGAACTTCGTATACAAAGTTTACATCATGTTTCATATAGTCTGACAGGAAGCAAAATGATTTTTGAGTAACTTCTGAATTTTGATTGTCTCTGTAATAAATAACTACAGGATGTAAGGTACATGATGAGTAAGTCCAATGATAACTTTGAATCTCATCTTGCAGGATAAATCCATAGTTTTCCGAAAAATCCATGAAGCAAAGTACTTTGTTTTGTGATACAGATTCTTTCCTCATTTTGATATAACCTGATTGTTGTTTGGCGATGAATGAATGAGGTATTAATGTTTCTAATTTTTCATTAACAAGAGTAATGTAATCTGACATCGGCAAAACCATAGTTTGTAGCTGGCTTCGGTCTGTATTTGTCCATTGCTTGAATATGATGTCATCACTGTTATCATAATCTTCCAGTTTAGTTCTGATGAATTCATTTAGTTTGTCAGAGTTAGGAGACTTATCACACATTCTCAACATACATTTTTTCTGTTTATCTTCACACATCAACATTGCTGTCAATTCTTTTATTTATCTTTTTCTAAATTCATTGGACTAATAAGCAAAGCTGGATTTTGGTGAATACAGCAAACACATACCGAGTGAACTCCTCTTTCATTAACTGTGACAAACACTTTGGCCTAAATTCACAAAACTTGGATAGTCCAATTTTAGCATCTGGATATTTTTCTTTAAAAGCTGCGTACAGTTCCTCAATGTTGCAAAGCATTAAACGCTTTTGCAGGTAGGTGTTTTTTTCAATACTTACTTACTTACTCCTTTGCTCCTGGCATGAGCCTGCTGAATTCATCATCTTGATAGAAAGCTTTGACATTTTCTATAATATCAGGGTGAATTTTGCATCCCTCCTTTGGTTCAGGTATTGATAAAATTCCTTTAGTTTTACATAATTCCCGTGCCTTGCAAACCATGTATTCCGTTACATTAAATTCCATTGCGGTTTTTTTCCTGGACCATGACTGGGGTGCAAGAGTTAAAATCTGGATTTTTTCTCTTTTATTTTGAGTAACCAAGAGCTTGTCTTTAATGGCATTAATAAGGTGGTCTAAATCTTGGGCCTTCTGTGCAATTTTAGGAATAGATTCAGATGATGAAATTGATGAATCTGATTCTAGTTCTTTTTCCGGAAGCTTTAAGACACGGGCAACTTTGTTTTTCATTTTAGATTTAATTTCCTCAACTTTTCGTTTAGCATACTTGACTTAAGATTTACTTGATAAGGATTTTAATTTAAGTGGTGAGACTCCCAGGGTTGTTATACTAGATTTTAATTCGTATTTTTCAAAGGTTTTTGTGGGAGTGTCTTCAATTTCTTTAGTTTTAACCGGTGAAATAGCATTTTCTATGTTGTCACCATCATCCTCACCAGACTCACTATAAGCATTAAATTCTTCGTTGTCATCTTGTAAAATAACTTTTTTTCTACAGTTGTCACAAATTTTTTTACCTGAATTAAAACTACTCCTTTTTTGGCCTTTATTTCCTGTGCAAATTTTAATGAAATTGGCCTTAACCCTGCCTTAATAATTTTTTTATGAACATTGTTAGGGTCACAACACTTTTTTTGGTAGTTTTCATAATAGTCTGTGAAATAAAGTAGGTGGTGTTGGCATACTGTTGATTCTTCATTCAGTTTTGTTGTCAATCTCCAATTCAGAATTTCTTTTACCTGACATTCTAAATTGGAATATTTAAAAATGTCCTTCTTGGCAGTAAAGTCTTTACAATGGCACGGAGAATCTAAATTGATTCCTATACTGCACAGTTCATTCTGTGTTGAGGGATTTTCATTTAAGCTCATATTTATTGTTTAATCTAACTATTCAAAATTTAAGTTCTTTTCAACTACATAATGCTATTATGAATAAAACACACTACTATTTATAATTATCTTGAAGCAAAATAACACTAATGATTTAAACAATATAATAATCTAATGTATACTTGCTGAAAATGAAAAATAATAGACACTTGCAACTATGGACTGATGATGTCACTGCCACTGCACTATCTCAAAACTGACTGACTAGTGAGTGACTGAGCTATTTGTGACTTGCTGCAGGCTGCCTGTCCAGACAAGCAGCTTTCATGTTGCTACTTGTCTACTACTCACTCTCCTTCATTCATTTTGATTTATCATGATAAGGAAATATCTGAATTAATGATTAGATTAAACAAATTATATCTGAAATTTAACTACTACTAAATATTTTTTAGATGCTAAGCACAAAATGGTTTATGTTTTTCTTAAGTTGAATGCTGTCTTAACAAAAAGTGGTATACTATTTCTTACCATACTTTGTAAAACTAATGCTTGCTTATAACTATATACTTACTTACTTGATTTAAACTTGTTTAGATTCTGTTACAATATGATGAAGGAGAATGAGCTTCTTCTTTATTTTAGAGCATTATATAATATTAAAACTAAGTAAACAAATTGCTTTCGTAACATTTTAATGATTATTTCCGTTATTGAATTTTTATTTTTTTAAACTGTGATAACACTAAATACCCATGAATTTTATTACATATTCTTATAGTACTTTTTCTTAGCTTTAAAATGACACCTTGTTCAAATTTGTAGGACCTGCCAGAAAAAATTTATGAGGATTTACGGAAATGGCGACAGCGAGAAAAATATTTCCGAAATTTCAACTTTGAAGATGCCTAACCAAAATAAATTGGAAGATTTTACTATTTTGGACCATATTTTTGGAATCAGGGTGTAATTATTTGTAAGATTGCTAAATTTCATGTATTTATATTACATAATAGTCTCACAGTCGGACTTAAACTAAAAAGTGTTCATTTCCCCCGACGCCAATTCTAATAAATCGATAAAAAAGACGTATTTTTAAAGAATTTATAAAAAAAAAACTAAAGTGAATTTAACAAAAATAAAAAATATGGGTTGTTATATTTGTCCATAGATGCTGTAAAAAAAATGTCAGTCTAATCTGAGAGGGTAGGGGTGTAAAATTTTGTTTAGGCTGGATGATTTGTCGTGGACTGACCAAATGTTTTTTTAACCCCATTTACTCCATATTAAAAACATATGATAAATATATTTTAATCATTGATTAGGTTGACACTTTTCCCTTTTCCTTGTCTTCACATTCCGTGGGTCAAATCTCGTTAAACTTTTTATCTTAAGTTCAACCTGTGTGACCCAGTCACCATAATTATTCTTGACATAATCTCAGGATAATTTTTCAAAAGCAAAAGACCTTTTAAATGGATTTCACAATTTATATACCAGTGTTGGATCAAATAGTAGACAAAATTATTGATACCATGTAACCTACTAAATAGATCGAACCATTTAACAGGTCTAGACTCAGCAATTGCAACTTGGAGACACTGAGGCTTTAGTTAGACCATAGAAAAAAGAATTAAATATAGACCGAGAGCAGTGCTGCGGTTAATATATATTCTGGTGTACACCACTAGGAGTGCTGTGTAGTTTCAACGCACACTGCTGCAGTGTCAAGCGCTAGGGCCGGCCGCACACTGATCAGACAAAACGTCTTTCGACAAAACGTTTTTTTCGGGAAAACGTCTTATGTCGCATAGGTGTGCGGTGGTCTCAGACAAAATACAAAAACTGGAGGGAAATCTTAGTCACGTAGACCAGTGTTGTGAAAAGCGAAAAGAGATTGTGTATATAATAAAATGAATGAGGAAGTGGACGTAGCAATTATGTTGTGGAACTTTTTACAACTTTCAGAACTAACCGAAGGATTGAGCTAACATTTTCTGTATTTTCTGTATAAATCTAAAATGAATCTACAATGGAATAAGGTGAAGTATTTGAAATTGAAATAACATTTTTATTATTTTCTGCATAAATTGAAAATGAACTACTTTAATAAACTGTAAAAACATTACAATACGGTATATGGAATAAGTTGAAATATTTTAAATTGAACTAAATTTTTTATTATTTTAAGCATAAATAAAAAATGAACAACTACTAACTGTAAGAAAAATTATTACAGTAGCCTATATATAGATAAGTTGAAATATTTGAAATTAAAATAACGTTTTACTGTTTTCTGCATGATTCGAAAATGAACTTCTACTAACTGTAAGACAAATTATTAAATACAGTAGACCCTCTCTAATCCGGGACTGCACCACTCCGGCACTCCAGTAATCCGACGTCTTTTGACGGGTGAGGTCTTCCGCGATCGCGGCAAAATCATCAACATCTCCCGCGGTCACGGAAAAGTCATCGTCGTCTTGCGCATCGCAGCAAAATCATGAACATCTCCCACGTCATGTATACATTATCGTTGTCTACCGCGGTCGCGGCAAAATTTGATCCTCTCCCGCGGCCGTGTAAACATCATTGTCTACTTCCACGGTCAAAGAAACGTCATCGTCGTCTTGCCCGATCACGGTAATAGCGGTTTCAAATTGCGCGATTTCGGAGTCGTGTTTTAATTTCATTTTAAGTGTTTTTATTTATAACATTCCAGTAAATCCGGCATGTTCACTAATCCGGCAGTATCATAGTCCTATATCTGCCGGATTACTGAGAGTCTACTGTATATAGATACCTACTGTATCCGCCCTCCGCGCATCCCCAGAACTGTTTGTCTGACCGCGTTTTGGCTTCAGACAAAATATTGGAGGCAATCACAAAAACATCTTCAGACGAAACAACGCGTCTGAAGCCTCTGTCTCATCAGTGTGTGATGCCTCCATTTAACTGCATGGTAGGCCACTCGCTTCCGACGTCTTTCAACAAAACGTTTTGTTGAAAGACGTTTTGTCTGATCAGTGTGCGGCCGGCCCTAGGGAGCGTTGCCATGCCATGACAAGTTCGTAGTTGGAGCCAGAGTTGCAAACTTCTGGAGAATTCCTTGGAATCCGGGGAGTAGAAGTTTGTTCCATTATTTTTCCGTGCTTTCAACATTTCTGGAGATTTTCAATAAAATAAGCTTTTCTGTTAAAATTACGGGATTTCAGAATTTTGTACTTTACCCATATTTAAAAGTGGGTCTGATATGTTGTTGATATGTTGTCTTTCTAATATTATTTGGTGCAACAGTCATCGTTGCACACAGGGTGCTCAAAAGTGGATAGGCCTATGTGTTCGCTAGATGTGGGAATATGTATCTGTTCACTCATATAATTTCCTCTGTTGGGGCTGGTTTGGTTCTTTTTTTTTGACTGCAGTAATATCTGTCTGACAGATATTTGTGTTGCAAGTACTGGAACTGTTATTTTTGGTTATAAGATTTTATACAGAGAAGTAAGATACAGAGGATGGGACAACCGTGCGCTTTTAGCTCTGGTATGATGAAGGTGGAGATGTACTTGTAATAAGCAAGGAAGAGACTGAATGGCAATGGCCACATAGTATTGTTGTACATCAGTTGTAGCGCACAGGATCTTCCAATAGCGTGAGCGTTGTAGTACTGTACATGACTGCACGTGATGGTGAAAGGAGAGCGGGAGGAGACTACAAATAGGATTTTCTCTAGACACCAGCGTATTGTGTAAAAATGTTGTAGCCCATTGAAGTTTTGGAGGAACTTGGGTTAGGCTAGATTTTGATTATTGTAAAATTTTGAACCGATATAGCCCCCCCCACCCACCAGTTAAACTATCCTTCAGGATTAAAATTTCATTATAGGCCCTACTAACTTATTACACAATTTCAACTTTAAGAATAGCATTAGGGGTGAGTTGGGTGTCTTAGACATAAATCAACTAGATACCTAACTCAATACCCCCGCCACAGCAAACCTGCAGACTAAGCAAATTTTGACTTGTCTGATTACATTTTTACTCAAATATTTCCATAAATAAGACATAATATTTATTTCCAATTTAAATAACGTTAAATTTAGCGAGTGTTTAGCAAGCTGCTACTGGGAAGGTAAAAAGCGTTTTTTGACCAAATGTTAATAGTACCGGTGTTGGATGAAATAGATAAATTTGCCAAATTTTATCAACTGATACCAACTACAACAGTTTTCGTTTTCTCCATCAGAATAAGTTAACATGGAAATTTTAAATTTACACTTTTTTTAATTTTCTCCCTAACCATTAGGCATATTAACAATGTTTCAATAGAAGCCTACTAAATTATTTATTTTTTAAGCTCTAGAAAATGGTTTGAAAGAAATTCCAAAATTTTATGATTTTTAGGTCCTAAAGGGGAAAACCCCATTTTTACCCTATAAAACCCCCATAATCCCCGTTTTCAAGGTCTTTGCGAACTGTACCCCTTTTCAGCTAAGAAAAGTAGCAGAAAAGTGAAGGATATTTTTGTAGGATAAGTCGTGACTGAATGTGGGATATTTTTTGACTCTGCGTGGGATATTATTTTCCGTCAAGTGTAAACACTGAGATGGACATTGACCCATAATCTACTCAGTAGATTTTATCAGCGTGCGAACTACTTATTGCTGACAATTTTTGCCAAATAACTTATATAACCTTGATACTGTCGTGTCCGTTAAAGTGTCCTCTATCTGTTGACATTATTGGTATATAGGTACTCGGCCGTATTTTTCCGCAAAACGCCCAGTAGGCTAATACATTTTATCAGCGTGCGCACTATTAATTGCTGACTTTAATCGGGTCTTTTTTTTACCTAACTTTTTGGTCAGGTATATAACCTTGATAACTTACTGTTGTGTCTGTTAAAGTGGCCTCTATCAGTTGACTTTATTGGTAACAAGGTACTCGGCCGTATTTTTCCACAAAATGCCCAGCAATAGATTTTTAAGGTGCACACACTACTTATTGCTGAGTTATTCCCAGGTTCACACAAGTTCAGCGAATTATAGGCTTTAATTTGAACTAGGTAACTTAAGACTTATTGATCGTTTGAATAAGTTAAGCTCCAGATACTGTAACACTCAATCCAAAATCATAATTTTGAATATTTCTCGGACATTAGGCCTAGCCTATACTTATCTCTGCGATTGCTGCGGAGCAGCATGGGTCCTCTAGTTTCACTTAAAAAGTTTCTCCTGCTAACAGCTTTTTGCCATTTTTGGCATAGGCTTATCCACCTAACATATAAAGTGAACTGCCTTAAATACACAAGAACTAAGCATGACCAATATATGTATTAATAGCCTAGGCCTACTGTTGAAATTAAGTTTCACATAAGTTACCTGAGGAGTTTCAGCTGTTCTGGATAAGATTTTAAAACAATTATTCAACATTATTCGTGGATAATTCGGCTTCACTAGGATATTGATGGAATTAATGGATCAAATGGAGCTCGAGTAGACTTTATTAGTAAAAATTCATAAAAAGGGTCTCATAAACTGACTTTGAAACAAGGTTAAAGCAGGTTAAAGGTTATCCTTTTCACCTTGACATGGACTTGACGTTTTCGTCTTCGTCTTGGTCTTGGGCTTGGTCTTGGTCGGGGTCAGTTCGGTTCGGTCTTGGTCTCACTCCTCCGTCACTCCACTCGTCGTGTCAACACCAATTTTCTGGCAAAACCACTGAGCTAGTGAGCTTGAGCTATACCACAGCCGCCTTTAACTCCGTAGTTAAAGGTGGCCGTGACCATAAATACCATTAGCTGCCTCCAAAACAAATCAGCCGTTACAAACCTACTTGCGATGTTGCCACTTCAGAAGCCACGGCCTGGAGTTAAAGGTGGCCGTGGTGGACCGGGGGCGTTGCCGCAACGACTCTCCCCCACTCCATTCAAAGAGAGAGGGGTGGTCGGCCGTGACGTCTCCGTACGGAAGGCTGTTTCGTCAGGAGCCCTTGTGTTATATATTTTTTCTATTTGCATTCATCAACAACCATACATATGTTATTAAATTAATAATTATTCCTGATGTTTTAACTATTGTGCCCACCTGCACCTTTCAAGTGCTCTACGTCCCCCCCCCCACCACGATAGGATCTTCTTCGGCAAGTGGAGCTGGGAACGGTGCAGAAAATGGCGATGTAGACGTCGAACTGGCATTGCCGGGAACTCTGCTGCCGAGAATTTCTGCTGTAGGGATGCCAAAGGAAACCTTCACAGCGACGTCGCGGTCGGAAAGCTCTGAGATTGTGCTTCTGCGTCAGAAATATCTTGACGCAGATAGTAACATTGAAACCCGGCTCCGTGAAACGTAAAAGACAATTAAGGCTATGCTGGAAACCTTCCGGACCCAGAAAGCCGTAAATCAAGTGGTAAAAAATGGAATGGCCAAACTAGAGGATGGTCTTGGTTTCGTCTTTGCCTGCCGTCTGATAAGCAAGGTGGCCATGGAAAAGATTGCCGAAAAGGTTATGTCCCTGTCCGATGAAAGAGCGCTGCCTTCTAAGAAACGTCGGAGGCCTTCCACATCGGAGAGTCTTCCAAAAAGAGCAGAAGGCGTCCAGACCAAAAAAACCACGGTAAAGGCCAATGCGACTCAGACGGACCTCTCGTCTGCTGTGCCCAGATCCTTTTCGGACGTAGCTGCAGCTCCAGCGAGGTGCCGACAGGCACAGCAACCCACGACCCCCCTTCAGGGAAGTTCCCGAAAGATGTCAGTGGTGGAGACACCTGGGGCTGAGTGGGAAAAACGCCTTTCCAAAAAGGAGAAGAGGCAATTGAGGTGGGCGGGGGTCGCCTCCATGAAGAATGAGGCAGTGAAGGCACAGCCAACCGTCGTGGTCCAAACTGGGCCCACCTCGATCCCTGCTCCGAAAAGGTCGCGGTCAAAAAAGCCCAGGACGGAGGCAATCCTTGTCAAACTCTCAGGGGGGAGATCTTTCGCCGAGGTCTTGGGTGTAATAAAGGCCAAAGCTAAGCCGGAGAAGACTGATACGATTGTACGGTCGATTAAACAAACCCGGGACGGGGACGTTCTCCTTGAACGTTGGGTAAGTCGAAAGACAAGGCTGCTTTTACTGCCGAACTAAAGGCAGCTGTTGAAGGCCAGGGCACCGTCCGTGCTCTTGAGCCGAAGACATCAATCGAGGTTCGAGACATTGATTGTGTGTCGACGGAGAGTGACGTTGTTGAGGCCCTGAAGAAAGCTGTACCCGATCTTGCCGGACAAACGGCCATTCTAAAGGTTTGGCTCACAAAACCCAATAGGAGCCATCAGCGGATGGCGATCGCCGAAATGGCAGACCCACACGCCAGTAAGGTGTTGGCACTCCAGTATCTGAGAGTCGGCTGGGTCAACTGCAGGCTTAGACGGAGGGTGGAAGTGAAGAGGTGTTTTAAGTGCCTCGGTTTCGGCCATTTCTCCCGAAACTGCATGGGCCGCGACCAAAGCAATAACTGAAATTATGAAATAATGATTTATTCCACAATAATTACATAAAATACAAATGAAATAAAAACTCGGAATTACGTTGCCACAGCATCCAGTTAATGTGACAACGTTCAATAAAAATAAAAAATATAAAGTACATTCTATAGATTTTCAGTCCAGTCCACACATGAAACACACCTTGCCGCTCTCTGCCGCGTCTTGATGACAGTAGTTGTTAAATTAAACAAAATAACAATATTATAAAATAATAGATATTCACAATAAAAGTGTATTAAAAAATGAATCCTATATAAGCAGTATAAAATGTAAATCAACAATTTAAAACAACATATGCAGATTCAATAATTATAATACAAAACGTTAAATTTGCAAAGATTTAGATAAAAAATTCTTTATGTTACAACACTATTTAAAAAATATATATTTGGCTTCTCAAATAACCACTTTTTATTTGAATGGAAAATGACTTTAAATTTACACTGCTTTTGATATCGTGAGGTAATTGGTTGAAATATTTTGGCCCACTGTACTGATAAGATTGTCTAAATACTGGTTAGTTTTACCTTGGGCAATCTAAATATTAATCTTTGACTGTTGCTTCTTGTGTGGAAGATTGTTTGTTCCGCAACTGTCTTCGATGCGGGGAGGTGGGTCACATCCGTAAGAATTGCCAAGTCGAGTCCTGTTTCCTTTGCAAAGAAAATGGGCTCGCTGACAAACACGTAAAGCATATAGCTGGATCTGGGCAGTGTAGTGTATTTTAAACTGCACTACATCAAGCGAAATCTCTCCCACGAAGATAAGAATCCTTCAGTGCAATCTTGAGCGATCCAGGATGGCTGACGCACTTCTCTGCCAGTTTGCCCTCGAACACGATGTCGACGCGCTCTTAATCAGCGGACGGTACCAGTATCGAGATAGGGACCCATCTTTAAGGTTCCCTGATAATCTTGGTACTGCTGCATTCTGGGCTCGTAATGCAGCTAAAGTACAAGTGCGGGGTCACGCGAATGGCCGAGGTTTCGTTTGGGTCCGGTGCAGGGATGTCACTTACTTCAGTGTCTACCTTACTCCCAACGAGGCCATCCGTGACTTTCGTGAGAAGATTGACCGCCTGTAAGAGAGCGTGCCCGATACCACCGGACACGTCGTCGTGGGTGGGGACTTTAATGCTAGGGCTGTCGAGTGGGGCATGACCCATGACCCACACCAATTCCCGGGGCAAGTACATTCTGGACTTTGCTGCCAGAGCCGGACTCGTTGTCGTCAACGAGGGCAACACGCCAACTTTCCAATAAGCCACCCTGGGATGCGGGGGACGATCCCAGACATTACTCTTGCATGAGTCCCTTTTTCCCAAGGATCAGATCCTGGAGAGTCCTGGAGGATTACGCGGCCAGTGACCGCCAGTACATAATTTTTGACATACTGGATGGTCATCAGAGACAAGTGGCCACGTTTCGTCAAGTGCCCGTTCGATGGACCATTAAAAAACTGGACGTGGCAAAATTCAATGGAGCCATCCTATGAAGAACGCCGATGGTTCATCCCGCAACTGGCTGACTCACGCAGAGGCGTTAGTTGCATCCACTATGGAATTGATTATCTCGGCCTGCGATAAGTCTATGCCTCGCAGGAGATACCGGTGCAATGAGCGTCATGTGTACTGGTGGACTGCCGAGATTGCGGAATTGTGTCGAGCAGCATTGAGAGCGAGAAGACTTGCTACCAGGGCTAGAGAACCCCTGGACAGACGGCGTAAGTCGGATGCTTATAGGGTGACTAGGAGGTATCTTCGTCGAGCCATCAATCGGAGTAATCGCAGTTGCTGGGATAAATTAAGGGACGATGTTGATTCCAACCCGTGGGGCCTTGGTTACAAACTTGTAACCAAGAATCTTGGAACCCGCTCTCCACCTCCGTCATGGACGGGGTTACTATGGAGAGGATAGTCGAGTCCCTTTTCCCTGCTCACGTGTTCCGCCCACTGCGGGATTTTGGAAGGGTGGACGAGGTCCCACTTTTCAGCCCTGAAGAGCTGGAGGCGGCCGTCATATCCCTGAAGAACAACAAGGCTTCTGGTCCCAATGGGGTACCCGTTGAAGTCCTCAAGAGGGTCTTGACTACCAACCCCTTGATCCTTTTGAGCATGTGCAATGCCTGCCTGGTCGAAGGGGTTTTCCCCTTGTGCTGGAAGACAGCTAGGCTTGTGCTTGTTGGGAAAGGCAAGGGAGACCCAGATCTGTCATCCTCTTACAGACCTCTGTGTATGTTGGATACGGCTGGCAAAGTCCTCGAGAAATTGATCCGTTCCCGGCTGAATTCAGCCGTTGTCGCTGCGGGGGACATCTCCCCACGTCAGTATGGATTCAGGATGGGGCGATCAACGATTGATGCGATTGAAGTGGTGAAGCAAGTCGTGATGAGAGCTGAGGATTTTAACCACTACTCTCGTAGGGTTGTGCTGCTCGTAACGCTCGATTTGCGAAATGCATTTGATTTGGTGAGGTGGTGTGATATGCTGGTCGCTCTGGAGAACACCTTCCACGGGCCATTATACCTCATGCGCATCATAGAGGATTATCTCCGGTTCCGCCTCCTCACGTATGACACTACGGAAGGCCCGCGGACGATGAGTGTCACTTCTGGTGCTGCCCAATGCTACATACTCGGCCCAGACCTCTGGAACGTCACATATGACAGCCTTCTGAAGTCTGAAATTCCTGAGGAAACTGTTTTGGTTGGGTACGCAGACGACGTTGCAGCTTTGATAGCTGCACATAGCGTTGAGCTGGCTCAGCTGAAGCTAAACCGAGTTATGCGTACCATAAACGCATGGATGGTAGACCACGGTCTCTCACTTGCTTTGAGCAAAACCGAGATCGTGATTTTGACAAAAAAGGGTATTCTCCGCGCCAAGAAGCTTGACCTTGACTAGGATGCGGTGTAGGTAAAAAAAAATCCAAATGCCAGAAACGGGCGGTGCAGAGCCCTGAGGGCTTAGGTCACATGTTGGCCTGACTTGAAGTAATGCGACAAACAATTCCAGGTCTGTGTCCAACAGAGTAGAGGGGTTTTTGTAGTGAGTAGTCTGATAATTTCAGGAGTCTTACACTACAGGCTGGCTACCTGTGTGCGTAAAAGCATTTTCCCTCCTCTCCCTACAAAAAAACAAACTATTGTGATTATGAAAACATTGTTTAAAATACAAGACTCATTTACTCATTTAATATGTATTATCAACTATTAGTTCAAGTATTTTTAGAGTGGCCTAGACTGATTATAAAGATCTGGACACAGAGTTCTTTGTCTGTGAAAACATTTTTCAACTTTAGGTATCGCACCCACACCATTTGTATAACATGAGGTGCAGGTAGGACAAACCGTTTAACTATGCCCTAATCCGTGAGTGCTAAACACCACCAAAAACGAACCACAAACAAAATCAAGTTTAGGATTTTACAATGAGATGAGAACTTGTGTTAGTTAATCTATTGGATTTCACTCATAAACACATTGGTCTGTTCCAAACGAGGCAGTATAGACTCGGTGCAAATCGTAGTGTGGTCGCGGAACGATTTAATTGAAATTGAACCGTATAATTAACACAGACTAAGCCACGGCTGCCTTTAACTCCTAGCTGCGGCCTGCTAGAATTGGCAACGTTGCAAGTGGTGTTGTCTAGTCTAGCGCTAGACGTCCCATAAGATAACATGGCAGTCAGGTGACACCAGCTCATTAATTCGCGTATTATGCGTTTAAATTTATGAACGTATTTATTAAAAGATAGAAAATAAAATACATAGAAGTGAAAACCAAAACAATGTTTAAATTGAAAATCTATTTTTGTACATTAAATTGGAGGCAATATTTTTATAGCCCACTAAACAAGCTTTTGTATTCTAAAAAATACACAAATTACCATTAGCCGCATCCAAACAAAACAGCTGTTATAACTCTACTTGCGATGTTGCCACTTCGAAGGCCCCCGACTTTAGTTAAAGGTGGCCTTGCTAAAGCACTATGACATGACACCATGGCTACCTTTAACTCCAGGCCGTGGCCTTCGAAGTGGCAACGTCGCAAGTGGTGTTGTAACAGCTGTTTTGTTTGGAAGCAGCTAATGGTATTTGTGTATTTAAAAAGATTGGTTACTGGACTATTACAATATTGACTCCACTTAAAAATGTACAGATATAGATTTTTAATTCATATTGAATCGGTTTTCAACTCTGTATGTTTTATTTTCAATATTTTAATAAATTTATGTTCGTAAATTTAAATTTAAATCAGTGAAGTGCGAATTAATGAGCTGATGTCACCTGTCTGCCATGTTATCTTATGGGACGTCTGTCACTAAACAACACCACTTGCAAAGTTGCCAATTCTACCAGGCCGCGGCCTGTAGTTAAAGGTGGCCGTGCATGTCACCATTTGTATACAGTATATGGTATTACAGTACCATAGATAAAACCATAGATAAAACATACTAGTCTAAACATAACTATACATAAAACATACTCGTATTACCATATTACCATAGACTAACCAACGTATGTTTTATCTATGATATTACCCTAACTTTTATGAGTACAATAAGTAGTATTTTAGTGGTGTTTGCTTTTCCGTTTGTCTGTAAGTATAATCTCGCGCCGTTTCAGTTCAGATCAGATCGCGTAGACTAGGACTAGGACTAGACTCTAGCTCTAGCTAGCAGCTTCCGAGCATTCAGCTTCAGCTTCAGCAATCGGCATTCAGCAATGGCGTTGAGTTGAGTTGAGTGTGGTGGGTGATTTACGACATTTACGTACAGTGAACGAACAGTAGTAGTCAAAGTAGTCTAAGTCTAGTACGTGTTTTTGTAGCAGTGTAATAGTAGTAATAGTGTTGTCTTCATTAAAACCATCGTGCAGTTTTGGCGGCAGTGTTAACGTCGTGTCTTCTACATTAAAACACGTAATTTTATCTCATAAGTGATTAATATTAAAGTAACGGACAATGGCAGCACCGAAGTTTAAACCGGGGGATAAGATTTTTGCTAAGGTAAGAGGCTATCCACCTTGGCCTGCTCGGGTTGAAGGGGTCGCCGATGAAACGCCGAACAAGATGAAGTATCATATTTATTTCTACGGTACTGGAGAAACCGCTGTATGTAAACAAGAAGAGTTGTTCCCTTATGTTGAAAACAGAGCCAAATTCGGAAAACCTATGAAGAAAAAGGGATTCAATGAAGCTATAATGCAGATGGACTCAGAGTTGGGCTTAAGTCCAAGGCCTCAAGCTCCAGATACTCCAATAGAAGGAGACAGTGAAACCGAAGGAAGTCTAATAATTGATGAAACACCAGGTAAAAAGACTAAATCAGCATCCAATACCCCAGTTACAAGTAAACAAAAGGTGCTTGAAAAGAAAAAAATTGACACAAATGACACAGAATCACCAGCTGTGAAGAAACCTCGCAAAAAGTCAACCTTATCTGAACAAGATACTCCAACGTCTTCATTAAATATTACACCGTTAGAAACATCTCGATCAGGAAGAAAGATAAAACACAAAAAGATTTCTGAAGGAGCCGATGAACAAGATATAGATGGAGAGTTTGACACTCCCAAAGGGAAACAGCAAAGCAAACAATCCAAGGGTAGAGAATCTTTAATAAACAAAGATGGATTGGAGGTTGATGGGGAGTTGTTGAAAGATGGAACATTAAGAGCCTTTACTCCGAAGGGCGAGGAAGTAAGATTGAAACTCAATTTGAATAAGCCTTCTGTTTTCAAGACTGAAAAAGCCAAGCTGGAATGGGAAGCAAAAGTTCTACAAGATGGTAAAACTTTAAAAGCTCAGATTGAATCAGGTGAAATATTACCTGCAGATGTCCAAAAAGAGATTAAAGAAAAGTATCAGGACAAACTAATGCAAGTAGAGTACAAAATGGCACTTGATGATAAGAAAGAAAAATTGGACTTTTTGCGAACCGAGGCACAGCTCCTTGATATTGATGTGAGGATTAAGAGTAGCTTGAGTCTTAAGCAAGCTGATGCTGAGTCTTGTATTTCCCATTTAGATGAGCTACTAAGTGTTAAGATACATCCACTAATGGTTAAGAAACACCCAGAGTTGATAGACACAATTAAAAAACTTCGCAAGTATGTTGGGAATACAAGTTGTTGGAACTTTTCTGATGAGGAAACCGAAGTATTTGCTTCCAAAGCAGCATTGATCAGATCTAAAGCTGAAAATGTTTATAATAAAATCAAAGCATTGTTTATGGTTCCTCCAGGAAGATCTTTCTTAGATGTATTTGCTGAAGAATTGAAAGAGTTCCATGATACAACCAAAGAAATGAAAATTGACGATGTTTTTTCACTGACAATTGATCCTAGGCCTACAGGAAAACAAAATGAAGACAATGAAAAGATCACTGAAGGTTCTGCTGCTTAGATTTCTCCTTCCTCTCACTGAGTAAGTTGCAATCATAATAAAAATTTCAGGACTTAGCCTAACCCTTCCCGGGCTAGGCCTATAGGCTGATATATCCGCCATTAGCACTTTGTGCATGGCAGACGGTCAGCGGATATATCCGCCTATCTATTTTGGCTTTATGGAAGGTAGGCAGATATATCTGCCGATTATTATTACGACACCTAAGGGTAGGCCTACTTATTGTCATAGTTGATTAAGTTATATAACTTATTTAACCCTAGCAGTGGCCAATGTTAGAAGTGGGGAATGGCCAACCCATTTTGGCGATTTTGCAGACCTTTTATGAAAATTTGTAAAAATTCAACCGTACAAGTAAACCTAGCCAACCTCATATTCATTTTGTTCGGAAAGAACAGGAGAATCTAGAAATAGTAATATCATAATGATTTAGACAGTGTATTTTATCGGTAAAGTGAAAAAAATAAAAAAATTCGAATTTTTTTTTTAATTTCAAAAGCGGCCTCGGTATTTTTTTCCCTACGGATTTTTTATGGGAAATTCATTATATAGCCTACATTTTGTAGACAATCTAATTCCCTACATAGTAATATATAACATGTTAGGAAAATTTTTTTTAAAGTTTTTGGGGCGAAATATAATGACAAACGGAGAACCAAAAAAATTGAAAACCGTACAGTGTTAGTTTATGTTGTAAAAAGTTCTATAATATATGAGTATACTAATAATGATATATACATGTTTGTAAAGCTAATGAAGTAAGGAATCAAAAAAAGTTATAAAGTTTATGGTAAAAATAATTTTTTACACTATAAACATACGTATATTAAATAATGTTTTTATATTTTAGCGATTTCTCCAGAAAAAAAATCACAGTATTTAGTAGGTATACAACTTTTGTACCAAATTTTTTTACTTCAAACCAACATAATAATCTTGTACCGTAGTGATTCAATTAGGGGCCTACCTACATAAAAATGTATAACATGTTAGAAATATTTTTTTTTTGTAGGTAGGGTACGTAATAGGGACATAATAATACAATAACCGCAAAACCGCAAATAAGTGTAAACTATAGCCTAAGTTACAGTGTTTGTGTTGTGAAACATTATGTAGGCTGATGATATGTAGCCTACATATTTGTAAAGCAAATGAAGTAAGGATTCCAAAAAAGTTATAAGTATGATGGTAAAAAATTATTTTCACCTATGATTATGTATCAATTTGAGAACGTTTTGAATTTTTTGCGCATTTCGAGAAAATGGAGTGTACAGTATTTAGTAGCCTATATATTTTTTTTACCAAATTTTTTACACCCAAACCACAAAACAAACAAATTTTTTTTGTGTGTAATATATGGTTTTTTATATTGGTTTATGTAAACCAATATAAACATGTTGTAGTGTATTCATTTACCTTTATAAAAATGTATAACACCTTGGGTAAATCATTATATAGCATATATAGCACCTCTGAATGTCAGAATCGTCATTTTTGGACATGATGCTAACAAAATACGGTTTAGTATTTAGTATATAGGCTATAACTTTTTTACAAAATGTTTTATGGTACCCCCAAACCATTATAAACATGTTGTAGTGTATTCATTTACCTTTATAAAAATGTATAACACCTTGGGTATATCATTATATAGCATATATAGCATGGCGAACTAAGGTCCATCTCGTACAACAATCTCTGAATGTCAGAATCGTCATTTTAGGACATGATGCTAACAACCTTTTATGAACACTATTTCACACAATTCAGTAATATTTATGCATGAAGATTACTGTTATACACACACACAAACTTCACTAACACTAACACTACAAACTAATAACGTATTTGGTAATAAATCGCGGATAACACGAGAACGAACAATATTTCCGGCAACAACACAAACAAACAATGGCAAATACAAGACAGCTGACAGACTGTAGCAGTAATGACTCTCTTCCGTCGTCTACATGCGAGCATACAGAAATAACCCTGAGTGCAGGGCTGCCATTCTCTGAATCTAAATTTCTTCCTCTTCAAAATGACATACTATAAGACTAGTAATAATAAATTACACTGTACCGGTATGTAATTCGTATTTTCCACATCGTCACCTGACGACCATCTGCCATTTCTTAAAAATTTCGAAAACAACTGTTTTCATAAAATCGTACCGGTTGTGCAATCAATATTTCATTCTAAATATTACTACCACAATGAAGATAAAATCAATGGCTATCCAGTGGTACTACTCGCAACATCCCACGACGAAAATTACACAAGCAGGGTAATGCCAAACAAGACGTGTTTTGCCAGTTCCCAAGTGTCGGCTGCAAAAGTCGTGCCGCGTCAAAAATTCATTTGATTTCTAATCGTCGTGACATTGTTATATACCTGCTACAGGGTTTGTTTATGTAATAAAATGAAAGTTCAGAATGTGATCTTTCGAATGGTATATATATTTATTCTCATCTGAGTTGATTGTAAGTGTTTTTTTTACCGCTAAAAAATTTTCGGCCCAGATCGTCACAAGACGACTTGGCCATTCTAAGCATCAACGTCAGATCGTCACCAGACGTCGATCGGCCACTGCTAGGGTTAACAACATTAATCTTAGTAAAACATCTTTTTTGTTAAATTAGGCTATAGCCTATCTTCAACTGATGTAGGTTACAAGGAATGTTTTTCTAGAAAAATAAAGGAAATAAAAAAGAAAATTGTAATAAGGCCTGTAATATTTCGCAATTGCTCGAATTCAAGCAACAGGTTGGGAGAGTGGGGCACATTTGAACATTGGGCACATTTGAACGGTTTAAATTTGCCGTAATTTTTATACTCGCAGGCCATTGGACCAGCTGTAAAATGTAGCCCTCCAATAGGACAACAGGTTGCATTCATCTCCCTCCATTTCTGATCAGTTCTTAGTTTGTTGTTGGGAAAAGAAGTTTTAGAGCGCCACAAGAAAACTATTTTAGCAGAAGGGATTTGTAAATTTTTCATAGAAAAACTACACTACGGATAAGTTTGGTCCATTTACGTTATGGCTTATACATATTTAGATACAATTATGCACTTCACATTGATAAATTACAATTAAAAAAAAACAATTTAACTTTTTGCAAAATGGTGCCTAGTGGGGTAGATTTGAAGAGAGTCTGAGGGGTACATTTGAACACCATGTTTTCCTCTGGTAAGCATGTTGTTCAAATGTACCCCAACTGATTATATTTGTTTCCTATACAAGACAGTAATGAATAATAATAATTTAAAAAAACTATAGCTTCCTCAACCAACAATCAGGGCCGGTTTAACCCATACACTAACTACGCATCCGCATATGGCGCCACGAAAAAGTGGCACCATCGGGACACAATTTTTTTTTTTTTTTGAGTCAAAATTGGAAACAACTTTACTGACAAGTGAACAACTTGATTTTGTTTTTTTCACTCATAGTTCAAGTATCCAAAGAACCACACCAAAGGCATTTAGGCCTATTCTGTTTGTACCAACCAACAGCACTTGAAAAATGTGTATAATTGTACAGCACTTCAACTCAAGGACTCTATTGTTTTGCAGTTTCGATTTGTAGTGAGCTGACGCTCGGCAGCGTACAGCCACGGCCGCCTTTAACTCCAGGCCGGGGCCTTCGAAGTGGCAACGTCACAAGTAGGGTTGTAACCACGATTACTAGAAAAATACCGGTATGGATCATAAACATAAACAAATGACGATTTTGGCCCGAAAATAAACATTACCGGTATTTAACATTGCTTAAATGGAACTGCCAAATCATATGTTCAATGCTATTAGTATAGGATTGGGGCCAACAACGTCATTTTGTTTATGTTTATGATCCATACAGTCAACCGGGGCTACTTTGACTCGCGGGGCTACAATGATAAAACTTTTGTTTTTATCTAAAATATTTTTTTAAATTTTAGTTTTAGTAGTAACCATGGTAACTTATATATTAAAATCACCCTTATAACATAGGTAATCTTATTTTCACACTCACTCAAAAATATATATATATTCTTTGTTATCATAAAAAATATTTAAACATGAATAGATTTTTTTGCGAAAAAAAAAAAACGTCCCCGAACTTTCGTATGCACAACCTACCCACTTTTATCAATTTTTTTAAGGCATATTTTAATGAATAATCTATCTATCTGGGATGATAAAAATACGTATTAATGTAAATTGTTAAGGGATTAAAATAAAGGGTTGGGGTTGGGGGTTGGGGGGGAGATTGTTTAAAGGGATATAAATTGCTAAGGGGGAAAAAAAATTTGTTTAAAAAAATTGTCCAAGGTTTTTACTTCCAGGGGCTACTTTGACACTCTTCATTTTATTGGTTTATGTTTACTAACATGGGTAGTGGTGAAGTATATAAAAAAGGCACGTCAACTTCACTTTGTTGGCCAGATAATAAGTATTGATTATCATAATAAGGTTTGTGAGGTCCGATTTATTAGAAAAGTAACCGACACAGTAACAAGTTTTTAAGTGGCCGGATTAGGCCTACGTTGGTGAAGATCATGTTCCATATGATGACATCATAAACATTTTAAGTGAGCCTTCCCTGAACAGAAGAGGACATGTTGTGTTCAAACACAAGTTCCAGGGACTAAACATCCAATAAAATCCCGAGCATCGTTCAGCAGACCAGACGTCTGAAAGGGAGTTGCGATCCTTGCTTCTGGAGCACTATTTCACGGCTATGACAAAATACAATACAAGACGTACTTACATACTATTACTAATTTTTTTCTTAAATTCTTGTCTTTTTTAAACGAAAAACTGGTTTTGTTGGCACATTAATCCTTTGTTTTAGGTTGGATATATGATTTTTTTTTTAAACCTCTGTAAAGTTCGGAAATCTCGGAACGGCATTTTAAAATACCTGTCGTAGATCAAAAACTATAAAAAGTAGAACAACCAGTGTCATACCAAAATAATCATAATAAACCTCAGCTTTCAATAGAAGTATCAAAGTAACCCCTTTAACCAGTGGTTAC